AATTCCCCTTAATCTATAAAAAAAAACGTAATAAAATAACAAATTTGTTGGTTGTCGTTAAAAAGTTAATTAGACATATTTAACTCTAATTAAATCAATGAAAGTGATTAAATATTAAAAAATAAATATAAAATACACTTTATTTTAAAATAATTCAAAAATTAAACAAATCAACTATTTTTTTCAAAAAAAAAAACCAAATGAAAATAGGAAAAACTTTTTGAAAAACCTACTTCCTCTTTGGTTAATATTTATTTAATATTGAAAAATTTTCCACTTTTCTTATTTTGATTTTTGAAAAATAAAAGCTGATTTATTTAATTTTTGAAAATTTTAAATTCATGTTTTATATTTATTTTTTTATTATTTTTAATACTTCATCACTTTTCTTGATTTAATTAGAAATTAATATGTTTAATTTTCAATGATGTGTCATGTCAATAAAACTGTTATTTTATAATATTTTCTATAAATTAGGGGACAGTTTGATATGTTTTAATAGATCAGAGGGTATTTTTAAATAGGGTACATATTTCGGAGGACATTTATAAAAATAATCTATTAAACTACCGCTCTAATAATTGCAACGTCTTCAAATCCGTCAATCAAATTAACATAAGGGGTAAAATTAATAACGTTTCAAAATTTAAGGGTGCACAAACTAATTTTCAAAGCTCATAGAGCAAAGTGACAAAGAGAATAAAATTTGGAGGCAAAAATAAATTTTATTCAAAATAAAAATAAATACAAAAACTTGGGCGGGAGACAACCCCAAGGATGATCGTTGTCGCAAACTTGTTTTTAGTTTTTTTTTTTCTTTTTCTTTTTTCTCTTGGAGGACATTTTTTTTTTTAATTTTCTTAGTCAAAATTGAGCGGAGCAATTAAGGATATTGTTTCGATATAAAGTATGATAATTGATAGAGTCCAACATAAATGGTATACTTTCCCTTTAAACCTAAAATATTTCCCTTTTTAAGGAGACAAATTTGGCTTCTCACATAAATATGATAAATGTACTTTAATATAAGAGAAATAACTAAAAAGAAATAATTAAAAAATATTATTTATGTCACTCACTTAAAAATAAATAATTATCATTTAATTAATAAAAAGAAGCAATTAATAGAAAAAATTAATAAAGAGAAAATAAAAGGTGATGATGATACGCAATCTTTAGAATGATATAAATAATCTTATTGTACAAAATCATGGCAAGGCATGAATTTTTTTCATGATATAATTTGTTACACTACCCAACTAAATCAAGGAGTTCTTATTTGATTTCGAAAAATGAGTTTTATTTTTTATTATTTTTTATTATTTTTTTTGGGGTGAGCAAGACCAGAAAGTGCTAGGCAACTAACACAATGATATTTCACCTCCTTACGCCACCACTTTTGCTTCATCACAAAGCAAGTTGCCTACAACTACAAGGTTTGCATGTTTTGTTTTTCCTATTGGCTTAGATAAGGTTTAAAAGATAAGATGCTAACCATGAGTGAATATGAAAGATAAGTTGGTTACATGTACCATATGTGTTTGATGTTGCGTCCTCATTGGTAGAAAGTGCTTATCCACTGACTATTGCTCACCAAAAAAACAAAAAAACAAAAAAGTTTCTCCTACTTAAGATAATACGTTACTTTTCAGCCATCATCACTTACTCCTAAGAGACTTTCTCATAGTTTAGATCGACAGTACAAGAGGACAACAACAACAACAAAAAAAAAAACACCAAAAAAAACAAAAGGTGCGTTTCAAAAAATAATTTTAGTTTTTGTATAAAAATAAAAATGAAAACGTTTTCAATCTCAGACAGAAATTATTTTTAAAAATGGGTTTGGTAATTTTTTTAAAATATTATTTTCAGTATAAAAAAATTCATTAATGTCTCTCTCTCTACTCAGAGATGAGAAAACGGAAACAAAAAATGAAAAATGATTAAAAGTTGTTTTTCATTTATCTCTCATTTTACACTAAACTAAAAAATCATTTTTATTTCTTTTTTTGTCTTTAATTGTGTCAAACGTCGTTTCTCTTCCGTTTTCATTTTTTCTTTCTCGAAAAATGTGAAAAATAAAATCGAAAACAACTCCAAACACAGTCAAAATGAAAGTTTTAAGGCATTTTCTTAAAAGGTAATTGTATTCCAACTTAGGGGATTGGCCACACAAATGCCGACTTAAATGACTTTGAAATATAAGAAAACTTAATCCAAATAGCTGTAAGTTGCACTGACTTGAGATTTAAAAAGAACAGCACGATCGTTTATCTCAAATCTGGGACGGATATCTCTAAAAATTTGAATGTTGTAAAATATGTTCCACTTGTTGCAACATATCTATTCTTGAATTCAAATCTGATTTCAGAAGCATCCACCCGTTTTTCTCGGTTCTTTTCTTCCAAATACCTTCAACAAATTCTTCTCTCTTGAAATCGCACATCCCTGGTGCTGACGGTGGATTTTCGTCAATAAGATTACGCCGGATTATTCCTCGGTCTTCTGAGATTGAAAACGTTTTCATTTTTATTTTCATACAAAAAATAAAATCATTTCGGAACGAATTCCAAACGCGGCCAAATATTTCCAAAAGAAACACTAGTGTGTGTGTTTATAAGTTAAGAGAGACCTTTTCTACCAAAACAAAAAGAAACTTGGAGAGAGCTTGCCACTTTTCTCAACTAATATTTTACTACTATCAGCATCAGAAGAACAATGGCGAAGACCCTTCTTCCTTGGGAGATAATCGTCGACATAATTAGCCGGCTATCCGTGAAGGATCTCCTACGCTACAGGTGCATTTCCAAGCAAGTGGTGCTCCCTCATCGACGGCCCTGATTTCATCAAACTCTACCTCATCAATCACTCCAAGCGACCTAACTTTAACGTTGGCCACAATTCTCTTCAACAACAACATCTTCTGCGTCCAGAATCACTCCAATCACGCAACGACGTCGTTCTCTGGAACCCGTCCACTAGAAGGTACAGGAAACTGCAGATTTCTAACGTCATGAATAATGATAACAATGTGTTTTCTGATTTTGATCATTTGGGAGGCCTTTTGGACATGAACCCATTAACAACGACTATAAGTTGGTCAGAATAGCAATACATTATTTACCAAGAGAGTAGTACTCATGAAGGTTTTTCCGAGTCTGTTATTCATGTTTATAGCACAAAAGCCAATTCTTGGAAAATGAACAAAAAAACGGGAACTTATTTCCTTATTGCCTTCCTCCCAAGCAATGGCAGCGGCGTGGCGTTTTTTTCGCGTAATGCTCTGCATTGGCTGGTTCTCCAAAAATCTTCTTCTGAATCCGAGTTTTCTTCTTCCGAGGTGACTCTTGCACTTAATCTTGTGACCGAGGAGTACCGAGAGATTCCGCAGCAGGAGTGTACCGAAAAGTACGAGGGTAATATTGAAATTTTCGCGAGTGTTTTTGAAATTTCGTTGGCGGTTTTGGGAGGGTCACTTTGCTGTGTGCGTAGCTATGTTGAAAGTCCTTACAGCTCCGATTTCCTTGTCCATCGTGTTGATGTATGGGTTATGAAACAGTATGGGGTTAAGGAATCTTGGAGAATCTTTGGAGCCAATGAGAGATATTGGAACTAATTCTTTCGGTTTTGTAACTGTTGTTGCGAATTTAGAGAGTTATGAATGCGGTCAAGTTCTTTTGCATCTAGATTATGTGGGATTCGTATTGTATGATCTGCAAAAGAAAATGGCTAAGAAGGTGAGAATTTCCAGTCTTCCGATAAGCTTCGGAATAGTTCTCACTCATGTGTGGCAAGCCTGGTTGGCCTTGAATCTGATAGTGGTTGGAACGAGGCTGCAGAAGGCGGATCAGAAGCAGGGGAACATGAATGAAAACCTCAATGGGAATTGGGAACCAAAAGGTATTGTTGAATTTTAATTGGAATCTTCTTTGTAAAATGTAGAAGCATTCTATTCAAATTAAAAGTCTTGATCTGTCAAACAAAGTAATGATTTTAGTATTTTTCTTTTGTGATCAATTATACCCAAATTCGAAACTTCAAAGTCATTCTCACTTTGTTCCCATAGAACTCGAACTTTGCCTCTGATGACAATTCCCATAGAACTCGAACTTTGCCTTTAATGACAATTTTTCAATCATACTGAAAAGGTAATTGATATATTGATCAATAAACTAATGGTGATGGAGATGTTGGCTGGGTGTGTTCCAATTGGGAAATGGAGTTTGTCAAGGTTCGAGTGGAACTTGACGGCTATCACTCATGAGTTTCAGTCTTGCTCCTTTAATTAGGCGAGGAGGGCCGACAATTTCCTCACTCACAAGTTGAATCGATGGGCTCTCAATGCATCTGCTTGTGTGTTCAGAAATAATCGTCATGTTTGGAGTTAGTTTTTTTTTTTTTTTTCACGTTTTGTGAGAAAAGAAAAATGAAAACGAGAGAGAAACTACGTTTGGCACAATTAAAGACAAAAAACAGAAATGAAAATAATTTTTTAATTTAGTGTAAAATATGAGAGAAATAAAAAATGACTTTTAATCGTTTTTCATTTTTTCTTTCCGTTTTTTCCTCTCTCAAGCAGAGAGGGACATTAATCTGAGATTAAAAATATTTTCATACAAAAAATAAAATTATTTTGAAACGAGTTCCAAACGCACCTAATGTTTGTATTCCTCAAAGATATATGTGCCTTGTTTTGTTTTATTTTGTTTTGGGCGGCCCTCTTGTGGTTTTTCTTTTTCTTAATGGATGCTTTTCAACCCCACCAAAAAAAAAAAAAAAAAATCTAATTGGAGAATTTAAGTGTCAATTAGAGAAAATAATTACTGGATAAGAGTCTGAAGCAACGTCTTTTGGTAACAAGGTGATAAGACTCTAGCTATAGATAGAGAAAAATAACTGAAAAATGAATCATTATTAAAGAACAGTGATGAATCTCAGAACCAACACCTAAAGTTCCCAACAGATCACACTCTTATTAACTAACCAAACTAACTTCCAGGAGCGTATCACACCGCTGTCACATTTTTTGCCGCGCCCCCAAAGCGCCACCTATACTGGAAAGAAACTCGAGACTTCGAATTGGGGGGGACAAAAATTCAAATCTATATTGCCATAAAGATAGTAAACCAAATAGAATACTGCTTTTTTCCTAATAGTACAACATTAAATCGATCTTGCAAACACACAAAATGTATCAGAATGTGACTTACAAGATAACAACTAGTTTTGTGTTAAGCCAGGCTTAAGCGGGGCAATATGAGCTTGTTTATTTGGACAAATGCGAAATGAATAAAAGCAATGTGCTTAAAGAATGTTTTGAGTAATCTTGTATTCATGTATCTCTCTTTAATTTTTATCACCTTCTTAATAGCTTTAGTACATCTCCCACCAAATGCAATGACCCAGTGACAAGAACCTGTATTTTATAGCAAATGAAATATTATTTAGATAGCAAGTGAATGATATTTGGTAAAATGGATCGAATGCAACACTAATAAGATAGTCGAGTTTTGCTTTGAGATTCATTCCAAGGGACAATTTACCAAGCATGAAAGGCAAAAATGAAAATCGTAGACACTAAGAAACATTTTTGAATGTCATTCTGCATATTAACCAATTACCATTTGAGAAATCTAGATTCAAACGAGCAGTTATCTCGGTAGCAATCTTACCTGAAGTCTTAAAGACGGATTTTCCTTGACGCAATCCCGCAGCCAATTTATTGTTAGAGGCAACGAAGGCATTACTGCACTGCACGCGAATTGATTATCTGTAGGACTGCAATTAGAAGCATCCTCATAAAGAAATTCTCGAGGCAAATTTCTAGCAATATCAATCCTGGAGCCTTTGTCAGAAACAACATCTACTTCTGCAAGTACACAATTAACAATGAAAAATATTTAACCTGGTTAGATCAGTTTCAAGAAAGAAAGAGAATAGGAAGAGAAAGAGATAGAAATAGAGAACTTAGAGAAGAAGAGAGGGAATTAGGAATATAGAAAGGAAAGAAGATGAACAATAGAGAGGGAATATGAATATTCAATCAAGTCTTTCGTCTGGACAGCAATAACATTCTTTAGCCTATTCATAGAGAAGAAAATAACAAGGAAAAAAAACAACACTAAAAGAAAAGGGAAGTAAGCTAACAAATAATTAGAAACTACCAAAGTATCATTAAAGGAAAACTTGATAAAATAATTTTGGGAAGTCAAAATAATAAAATAGTAAGAAATCAAACTTACAAACTACTTTTTATACTTATTGTAATGATCTTTCTCCTAATCTTTTTTTGTACTCATCACCCTTCACACCCTTTCTACTAGAGAAGCAACGAGTAACAAAACCGGGTATGCATATATTTTTCAAGATGCCAAAAAAATCAGAGCATACCTTTTCCATGAATAATCTTCTCCCAAAGTCTCTGTAGACTGTATTGCCAGAACAAGTCTTTGTTAGAGATATCTAAAGGAATGACTGAGGCACCGGATGTAACTTTGTTATATGCCGACATGCTTGGGACAAAGAGGGCCTTCGAGAAATGAGTACCTGAGCAAGATTACAAGCAATCTTCAGAAACATAAAATGCTCTTAAGTTTTCATACCATGCAGAAACAACCGAACGGTTTGAGGATTGCGGCACTGAAGAGGGGAACCCGAGACTAGTAAAATCATAACCAACCTTTTCAATCAGTAACACACACCAAGTTCCAAGTCAATCCCGTTATTTATAGAAAGAAAAGTTAAAGCTCTAGCAATACCTGAGGAAGCACAAGTACTTAAAAGCCGTGGAAACAAAATTTGAGGGTCTCTGACTTCCATACAATTGAACAGAAGAATCTACAAGAAGTTGTAAACAGTGCACAGGGAGGCAATTAATATATATAGATAAATTATGGATGAAAAAGACCGTCCATCACTTGTATAGGCCATAATCCATAATAACAATATCACCATAGATCCATAAACACCTTAAAACATCAGATGAGTTTAATGGACTTGCCTGCTTTGATATTTTACGGGAGGCCTCTACGCTTGTTCTTTCGTGTTGAATGTGACCATTCTGGAAAATACCATTCATGTTTTCAACCTTATAAGAAGAAATTAAAGAATTCTCGTTTTCGTTAATGGCACTAGAGAACCATTTGGCACAAACTTCCATGCTCTCCGGACTATGAGCTCCATCTAAGTAGAAAATCAGATCCCCACATGAGCTTTCAAATACATTTGATGAAGTGTACGACACTGAAGAAGTATCACGAGCTATCTGAGCTCTTCCTGCAATATATGCACTTGAAAGTCCTCTACGAAAGGCCTCTGGTAGCTCACCTTCTAGGCTATCCTGAATTTATTTACATCATACAAAAGTTAACACAACAAAAGAAGGCAAATGAAGGCAAAGAAGTAGTCAGACCCGTATTGAAAAACGTTTACACTAGGAGGAGTAAGAGTGACAAAAAGACTAAAGTTGGGGGTCAAGGTGTAATTTTAGAAAGTGGCTAGGCAGTGCAAAGGCTGGAATCAGGGTATTTGGGGGGCTGGAAAAGATTGGGGCAAGGGTCGAGTTTTCTTTGGTTGTCGTTGTACTGAACCCACCGTCGGTGGCTAGGAGTTCCGGAGTACTCGAAATCTCCGGGTCTCTCGTGTCGATTGTCTTCTGTAATTGTAGTTGGCTGTTTGAATTCAATAAACGCTACCCTGATTTCTCTCATCTTTCACGCTGTGCATCTGTGTGTGCGTGTGTTTGGCTGTGAAACTAACCAGGTCCCTTACAGAAGTTACTTTTCAAATGTTTAGGACTAACAGGTGGAAATTGAAGACAAATTGGACAATGCAAATGTAGCCAGTTTCAACCGAAGACTAGCCATTTTGGTAGATATTAGAGGTACCACTTCTCCTTAGTTAAAATTATTAGCAGGTGGACCATTATTGATTCTTATATTTTAGAAATTAAACATAAAAAGAAAGGATATATAAAGCTTCACCAACATTTTTAAATAGCTTTTCCCAGTTCCCTGTTCTTTGAAGCCAACATTTGCAAAGGGAAACAGCAAGACCGGCATTAATTAGCTGATGATCACCAGACAGGCTAAGCTCTAAGCCCTCCAACTTTTCATGGTCAAGTGTGGGCGCTACTTCCAGCGGAACCTGCAAAATAGGTACACAAACAGATCAATTGATTCACCAATTCCCCACATGTGCATGTGTTTTTTATCGGTAAAATGCTTCAGTAGAATGATGAAGTTTATAGAAGATCTGAAATTAACCATCTACATAAGCACTCAATTCCTTTATTTCGGGTTTTTTTGGTCTTTAGTATTCTTCCCACTACAAAGTAACATGCAATACCATCAAAGATGATGACTTTAGATCATTTTTGGATAGTTCTTGGTAGTTGGTATACCCAGTCTTATAATTTGCATGAATAAAGTTATAAGATTCAATTGCATGCGTGGTATTCAATTGGGTTTAACTGTTATCACAACTTGAAGCAAAAACAGAATCTTTAGTCAACCTGTAGACAAATCAATTAAGACACAATTATGGTATCTATGACTAAGAGTATTTTTCCAATAGAAACAGCTAATCGCGGGTAATGTAAAGACAAGAAGAAGTTATTTCACCATCAGAAACCTTATGGCAGGGATTTTTTTAGGAAAAAATGGAGAATCTGTTGTTTTATGATAGGACTAAGGATGACAATTACCATAAGCTCAGAGGCTCTCTCTTGAATGACGTCCATCGCTTCAGAAGGTTGGGATACCGTGAATGCTGGAATTTTAGGCTTCAGGAGCAGGGAAGACATCAACCCAATTCAGAAAATGCTTGAAAACTAAAACTGCCAATTTGAGTAATCAAAACAGATATTGAAATAAATAACTCATTTCCAAAGCAAAATATATCCATGCCAGTTCAGTTGCTTCTTAGGATATTTATACCTTGAAAATTCCAGCCTTATGTGAAGCTATCTGCCCAAGGGTCGTTCCTGGAAAATGTCACAGTACATAACTTAAGCACGTAAGCACTCATTTGTTTCTAGCTATCCAAAAAAATACTTATCACGAAATTGAAGAAAACGCAACAAGTGTCGAAGCTGATAGGAGCGATCATATCAAGAACTGAAATAAGATACTATTTTGAGAAAAATAAAACTTCAAATAATTATCAAGGAGTAAGGACACGCACCCAATGTCTCTGTATGATCCATCCCCAAAGACGTAATGCCACAAACAACAGGTTCTTTGATCTGCTCGTTTTACAACCATAATGCAAGAGCCATTCAGATAAAGAAAACAACGGGCCTAATAAGACTAATTCTCTTCATCACATAACTCTCATTGTCTTGTCAAAGAAAGGGGGAAAAATCGTAATTTTAGAAAACTTTGTGGAAGCTTATTAACGTACTTATGTACTTAGATGCATACCACGTTTGTCGAATCTGTTTTTCCCCCAAGACCAACTTCAAAAATAGCAACATCAACCTAAAAAAAAGCTGTCCTTAGTGGAAAAATTATCTAATTAGGGGAGCAAAATAAAACAAAATTTTAATCAACTGTATGAGTTTGAAACTAGGGCAAGCTTCAACATTACCTACTAAGGGATGACATACCTGTTCAGAAACAAAAATTTTGAAGGCCAAAACTGTGAGGAACTGAAACAATGGAGGCATTGGCAGATCCTCCGTAATATTTTCCTAAATATTCAAACTTATTAGAATAAAAAACTTATACTTATAGGGATCTTTCATAGTGTTACTTCCAATGCAAAATTTTTTTCTTTCATTTTTTTTTTAATAAAATCTCCTTTCTTAATATACTGATGGAGAATATTAATTAGCTGTAGTATTTAGTTTTTATTAATTAGGATTTTGTCCTATTGGGGTAGTTTACCGTTACTAAATTTCCTTATTTTATTTCTGTGCACCAAAAACAATAAATAATACCTCCAGTTTGTGCCAGCAATCCCAAAAATAGTGAAGAAACTTTTCTTCAGTAACTTCCAACCTAGACATACAATCTATAGTTAGAATTAAAACAACAAAAGATGAAATAATATTGACCAGTTAAGAAAACATTTTTAAACATGATTCAATTCAACTCTAGTTTTGAGATGATGAAAGCTAAAGATAAATCTAATCGTTACTTTCCATACATTTCAAGGATTCTTATCGACCATTTATCATTAAATCAGGAAGAGAATGCCTTTTAGAAAGTACTTTGCAAAAAAAAAAAAAAAAGGTTCCACAGACATTAATTTGGCAGCCGAAGTCAACCCATCTGCATGATGATGTCCAAGGGACCAAACACAACTACTTCTTACAATTTTGTAAATGTGTGTTTCTACTCGAATCAGCAGATGAAATAAGAATCAATCATAATATCACAAGCACTTTGTGACAACAACAAGGTCTAAATGTTCTGACCAGATTAGGGGGAAAAAAAAAAGACATGAAATTTCTACTCTATGTAATGTGGGTGGGACCACATAAACACAATGCAATTATCAAAACCGCAGATATAAGGAACTTGTACGAAATTTACCCATTTATACGGAATCTTTCCCTCACATCAATTAGGTGAGGGGAAGTGAAAAGCCCAGTTCGAAAACCACACTCCCGTAGAATAGCCTCACAAAATGTACATGTTGAACCCTAAAATGTGAACCCCAAAATGAGACAGAAACGAGTTAGAACAAAAGTAAATTATGTTTGACGACTTTAACAAGTCACTAGATCAAACTTAAAAGATGTAACCATTGCCATCCATATAATAATAATTATAAAGGCTACAAGGATCTAGGAGGTACCTTCCCCTTTGTTCCAGCCACATGAATAATTTTTAGTCCTAATATATCTTCTTCCAAGCTAAGTATCTGTAAGCAAAACAGTATTATACATTTCAACATTGAGGAACTTTATTTAAGAGAAAAGAATTCAAACTTGGCGAGGCAATATCAGATGTTCCAGAGAAAGCTTTGCACGAAAAATAAGATAAAATACATTAATCATGCAAGTTACAACTTCTAACCCTTAAGAAAACTATATTGACATAAAATGCACGTCGGCCAAATTTTGTAATACATCAATAACTGCTACCTTTAGATACATTGACATCCGTTCCAACTTTTCGTATTTACCACCAATAGATGATTTCTCTCCGCGCTTCTGACGTGTAATAAGAGAAGAAAGGGCTTCCATGGCAGCCTCATATGAAGATGAAAGAGGCAAGTCTTCCAGGTAATCTTTGACGAGGACATTATTTTCAATCTTTTCCATAACTTGGGATGACATCTTTGTACATCTAAAACCTACAAAAATAAAACAATAAGAGGTTCCCAAATCTAATCCTAGTATTTCACAAATAGACAAGGTACCAAAAGAAAGAAAAAGATTAACGGTCCACGAGCTTTGCCATTTGATAAATTCTAAATAACATTAATGAGTCTCAGATAGATGTTTCCTGCTGTCCTGCTG